GTCCATCTGACGTCAGCAATGGCATCCTGGTGCCAGGGTCTCTTCTAAATCCTGCTTGAACTTCTGGAAGTTCCCTGTCTATGATGATTCTAGTCCTTTTTGAACAATCTTCAGTAGTATTTTGCTTGATTCATGATGTTGTTTGACAGTTTCCACATCCTGTTGGGTCACCTTTTTGGGGAATGGGAACACATATGGACCTCTTCCAATCCACTGACCAGACATGTGTCCTCCAAATTTCCTGGCATAGACTGGTGAATGTCTATCCATGTTTCATTGACTGTGGATCGCAACAAATTGTGGCTAACCTTGAGATGAATGGGAATCCCACATAACTTAATTGCACTCATGTGAAATCTATACTTGGACCAGGAAGAGGTAGTCAGAGTAGAGCATGGAAACACTGCGTGCTTTAGGATCAGGAAAGATGTGCATCAAGGATGCTTCCTATCTCCATACCTTTTCACTCTGTATGCAGAACAGCTCATTCAGGAGGCTAGACTTTCTGAGGAGAAATATGGTATCAGGGTTGGAGGAAGACTCACAAACAACCTGTGTTATGCAAATGACACATCCTTGCTTGCTGAAACTGAAGAGGACATAGGTCAGGAACATAGCCTTCAATATGCACTGAAGCTCAACATGTAGAAGACAAAGACTCTCCACTGGGCCAACTGGCAGCTTCACAATAGATCGAGTAGAGATTGAGATTGTTAACAACTTCAGCTTGCTTGGTTCTATAATCAATATTCTTGGCACCAGCAGTCATGGAATTAAAAGACCAAGTGCCCTGGGAAAGTCTGCTGTCAGGGATCTCTGTAGAGTACTGAAGAGCAACAATGTCATTCTGTAGACTAAATTGTGCCTGATACAGGCTATGGTCTTCGTAATTCTATGCATCAGAAAGTAGGACAATGACTAAGGATAATAGAAGAAAAACCGATGCCTTCAAATTGTGGTGCTGGAGAAGAGTGTTGAACATACCGTGGACTACCAAGAGAACAAACAGATCTGTCTTGGAGTGGGTAAAACCAAGCTGCTCCCTAAAAGCAAGGATTAGGAAGCTCCATCTCACATACTTTGTGTTTTGGTGTTCTGTTTTGTTTTGTTTTTTCTTGTTGTGTACCAATAAATCAGATCCAACTGGCACAGAATGAGATTGCCCCTCCTTCTCCAGGGGAGCATATAGTGGATTAGAACCACATGGCTTTGGGTTTGCAGCACAGCTTCTTGTTCTATGTCACCAGAGTTTCCTTTTTAGTTTTTTTTGTGTGTGTTTTATTTTGTTTTTTCCATCTCACATACTTTGGACACATGGCCAAGAGGGACCAGTACTTGGAGAATGATGTTCATCATTCTTGGAAGGGTGGAGGAACAGCACAAGACAGGGAGACTAAGGACGTGATGGATTGACTGGAAAAGTGGGATTGTCAGAGACAATAAGGTTGGCTCAGGATAAAACAGGGTTTAGAGCTGTTGTGCATTGGGTTGCTATGAGTCACAGGCGACTCGACAGCACACAGCAACAGTTTGGTGAGCACATCCAGGACTGTGTCTGTTAATTGAAACAAGTCAATTGGTGGCCCATCAATTCCTGATGCCTTATTTTTTGTCAATGCCTTAAATGTAGCTTCAACCAGAAGAATACCTACTTATATTTTATTGACTATCCAAAGGCATTTGACTCTGTGGATCAAAACAAGTTATGGTTAACATCGTGAAGAATAGAAATTTCCAGAGCACTTTACTGTGCTCCTGTGAAACCTATACCTTGACCAGCATGCTGTTGTGTGAACAGAACAAGGAAACATTACATGGTTTAAAGTTAAGAAGGGAGTGTATCAGGGTTGTGGTCTCTCTGCACCAATATTCTTCTGAATGCTGAACAAATAATTCAAGAATCTGGACTCTATGAAGAGGAATGTGGCACCAGATTCGGAGGGAGACTCATCGATAACCTGTGTTTTGTAGATGACACAATCTTGCCTGGTGACAGTGAGAAGGACTTGAAGCACTTGTTGTAGAAGATCAAAGTACACAGCCTTCAGTATAGATTGCATCTCAATGTCAAGAAGACAAAGATTCTTACCACTGGACTGATAGGCAACATCATGACAGAAGGAGAAAAGATAGAAAACGTCAACAACTTCATCTTACTTGGATCCACAATTAACAACCTTGGTACCAGCAGTCAGGAAATCAGTAGACCTATTGCACTGAGAAAGGGTGCAGTTCAGGACTCCTCCAAATTATTGGGGAGTAATGATGTCAGTTTGAGGACTAAGGTGCATCTAATTTAGGCCATGGTCTTTGACTTGCTATGCGTCTGAGAGCTGGACAATAAATAAGGATGACAAAAGAAGAATGGATGCCTTTGAGCTGCGAAGTTGGAGAAGAGTAGTGACCAAATGATGGACGGCCAAAAGAACAAGTACGTCTTAGAGCGGGTGCAGCCAGGATGCTCTTTGAAGGAAAGACGACGAGGCTCTGCCTCACATACATCAGACATGGTGCTAGGAGGGCTTATTATTCGGAGAGGGACATGATGCTCAGAAAGATACAGGGTTAGTGAAGGAGAGGAAGACTCTCAACCAGATGGATTGACATGGTGACTGCTGCAATGGGCTCTAATGTGTCAGGAAGCATGAGGATGGCGAAGGATAGGACAGGGTTCAGATCTATTGTTCAAAGGATCGATACGGTTGTATTCGACTTGACAGCATCTAACAACAACATAATCAGAAGAGACAGAGGAAGGCCATCTTGAAGGATGAGCATTGGTGCCCACTGACCAGGCAGTCTCATTGACACAAAGTGGAAATCTGTATGAACCCCTCTTGTGTTGCACAAGAAAGATTCTCTTCCTCCCCTGCTGGGAACAGATACAACAATGGACATACCTAATGGCATATCATGTTTATGCGTAGCTAAAATTTCCTGCACAGAGTAGCATCAGAGCAAGTGGAGAGAGATGTGTTGATAGGTCTCTGCAGTGGGATGTGTTTGGATGAAAACAGCCCTGGAACAAAGTCAGCCTATGAAGGATTAAAATTAAAATGGCTCCTATAGTTCTCAGCTAAGTTAAACTCAGGAATTTTCCACTGCCCCGTTTGTGTGCCCAAGAGACTACCCCACACCCAGTGTTCCAGGAAATCGCCTAACCTCAGGGTACCCGTTATCCGAGAACTGGCCGACCACAAGGGTTGGGCAAACAAGCTGATGTTTTAAGATTTGCCTGACTGTTAACTGTGCAAAAGTATGATAACGTGTAAGTGTGCTGTGTAATCCATGTATGAAGCCAAACCAATGAATTTAAACTGTGCTTTTATTACCCAATGAGAAGCTGACACCCTGTTGTATTCCCCTAGAGTGTATAAAAAGAGCCAAAATTGTCTGCTCGGGGTCGACACCTCTGTCTCCTGTGAGAGATACGTGTCGGCCCGGAGCTCCGCAATAAACCTCATGCTTTTACATCAAGCCAGTGTCTTGGAGTCTTGGGTCTTCGCCGTCCATTCGGAACAGGACCACCAGTTCGGGGGTCTTTCACCTACCTTCACAACCCACCCAAATATCAGGTGACATGTTCAGTTCTAATCAAAAGGTTCCATCATGGGCAAGGGGAAGATGTCAGATCATGCTCGGACTGTCTCTTGCCAATGGGACTGACTCACCCTTGAGTGAGAAAACACCTTTAGCTACCACGAAATAGCATCTGAAGATGATTTTTGCTTATTTACTTCCTTATTACATTAGTCCTATGAAGCTACAAGACGTTTCCATTGGAACAAAAGTCTTTGTAGTTATAGAATTCTTTTCTATTTGATTTGTAGTAACAGTTATAAGATTTGTGAAGGATAGATCTTCTCAAGACCGTTTTACAGACGGGAAAACTACTTTTATTTGAAATTGTTCACAGCTTTAGTTTGCTTGGCTCCACAGTCTCTTTCTTGGCACTCTCTTGGCACCAGCAGCCAGGAAATGAAAAGACATATTACGATGGAAAAGTCTGCTGTTAGGACCTCTCCAAAGTATTGAAGAGCAATGATGTCACTCTGAAGACTTAGGTGCACCTGATACAGCCCATGGTCTTTGCAATCATTTGTTATGCCTCAGAGAGTTGGACAATGACTAGGGAGGATATAAAGAGAATTGATGCTTTGAACTGTGGTGCTGGAGAAGAGTATTGAATATACCATGGACTTCTAAGAAAACAAACAGGTTCGTCTGGAGAGGGTTAAACTGGCTGTTCCTTGGAGGCAAGGATTCTGAGGCTTTGTCTGACATACTTTGGACATGTTGCAAGAATGGGCCAGTCCTTGGAGAGGGACATCATGCTTGGGAGGGTGGAGGGACAGCGCAGGAGGGGAAGACACCCTTTATGAGGTGGATT